TTAAAAAAAAACATTTTATATATGATTTCTAATATTAAAATGAATAATCAAATAAACTCTACACATATCAACAAGCTCATATACCCTTAACTTGTCATATTTAAGAAAAAAATTTTATATTTGGATATTCTGATAAAACAAATATCCTAAGATGGATATCATAATAAATTTATTTATTTGAGATATTATAATATATTTTCTGACCCGCATTTTTTGCATACTATAAATAAGACCGTTATATCTTCATTGACTTGTTCTTATAAGCCTTTGCGCTATTAAAGGCAAGACTACAAGATTATAAGGTGATGGGATCTCGGCAATTAAAGCCGTTGAACCAATCAATCTGCAAGCCTTAAGTTTTGCTTCTAAATTAAAAGCTCTTTCAAAACTTAATTATCTTCATTAATTTTTAGTAAATCCTTAAGCTTTCTCGTCCTTCTTTCTTTTTTTCTTTTTTTTTTTTTTTGGGACATTTAGGCCATTTAAGGCAAACTCACACACAACGCATACACATAGACTCGAACCTGAACCTCTTAGTTGGAAGCCTAAGCTCACAACCAATAGGCCAAGGAGCATCTTCTGTTCTTCAACTCTTCTATTTCCATAAACAGCTAGCCATTGTTGAACCATACAACCTGCAAGCTTTGAGGTATGCTTCGATCTTAATCAAAAGCTCATTGCAGCTTAATTTTCTTCATTAATTTTTAGTAAATTCTTACTTAAACTTTCTCATTTTTCTTTCTCCTCGTCTTCTTCAATTCTTCTATAGTCTTAAACAGCCATTGTTGAAGCATTCTATCTGCAAGCTTTAAGGTATGCTTCTTAATTAAAAGCTCTTTGCAACTTAGTTTTCTTCATTAATTTTTAGTAAATTTTTAAGCTTTCCCGTCTTTCTGTCTCATCTTCTGTTCTTCAACTCTTCTATATATAATCTTAAGCATCCATTTTTTTTCTTTTTTACTGTAAGATTATAAATAGAAGAACTCTTTGCATGTAACAACTTAATTTTATTGTTTAATTTATTTGAATATTATACAGACAAATTTCTTGAATTAATATATATGTATATATTTTTGTTTCTTGCTTGATCGGCTTTGCTATAGAGTTCTGATGAAGATTGCTCATATATATACGCGTCTGAAATATAGAATAAGAGCCGTTTCAAATTACAAGTTAAAAAAAAAAAATACAAGTTGAAACAGATAAAAAATTAATCAAGTTGACGCCATTGCTTCATTAATGACCAATTTGGAAATTATTCAAGTTTTTTATTTAAGCTAATGATGAACAATTTTGTTGTAGTATCTCTATATTTGTTTCTCTTGTTCTTCTTCATCATTTACATATCTCCATTAATTTGCTTGTTTCTTGCTACTAAATATGAGCAAACATGAAGAACAGAAATATTATGAAGAAAACTAGAAGAGAGCCTAACATTTCTTCCCTACCACCTGATCTTTTAGAGGAAATTTTGCTAGAAGCTCTTGCAGCCTCTCCAACACCATTAAAAGATATAAGATATTTCAGACAAACGTAAGTATTATTTATTAAAAATTATAATTATTCATTAATTAAGACTAATCTTTTTTTATTTATCTAACTATAAGATAATTTAATATAGATGCAAGGATTTTCATTCAACATGTTCATCAAAAAGAGTTGGAAAATATATGAATGTAGAAGACTCGAGCATGTATTGGCAAGACAAGCTAGGTTATTTAAGATTTATTCAGAGTTGTGCGGAGAGTGAAAATGCTAATGCTCTTTTCTTGTTTGGATTGGTAAGCAATTTATTCTCTTAATTCATTATTTGAGTTGATTATAACATTAAACATTAATAATTTGCTATATATAATAAAAATCTACTTGTTTGATATGCAATTTTTTAGAAGGAAATGTTCAATTTAAGAAGATTTGATATTGGTTTGCATCATCTTCAATTAGCTGCAAGTCAAGGACATATTCTTTCTAAATATATTAGGGGAATATTGTTGTTTCATGATGAATCAACTCGTTTGCATGCTATTGATCTTTTGAACGAGGTATCAAATAATATACATCAGTGTCGAGAACTTGCTTCACAGAACTTCAGAAATATGATATGGCAAAAATTACCTTCATTGTCATTTATTCGTTGTGAAGATTTGTCATGTGGAACTTCAGCTTTGGAAGAGGATAATCTATGGTTACATGAGGTTCAAGTGAAAAGAAGGTTTTGTAGCGATCTTTGTAAATGGGCACATGAATATAAGATGTTTGTCAGTATGAGATACTTCTTTGTATACTAGTAGTTTTTTTTTAGGAAAAAAATCAGTTGTTTTTTATTTGGTTCTTTTGTTGTTAATTTATAATGCTAAATGAAATAGGATTTCATTCTTTCTGTTTATTTCATTGTTTTTTTTTATTCATTGTTTTACTTGAAATATATGTCATTAATAAATCATATTTGTCGAAGTTAGGATATAGGATCATAGTATTTAACCATAAATAGAATTTTATTATTTTTTTCCTTAAAATGTGTGCAATAATCTTTAAATTATCATTTATGGTGACATATATTTTTCTTGTAAAATATTAAATAATATTTTGACTTTCTAAAAATAATATATTTTATTCAAAAATATTTACTTTAATATGCATAATGCATTATCAAATACAAGATCTTATCCAAATATAATTTTTTTGACGCTAATTTGAATAACATGAATATATATTATTTATTCAACATATCTTTAGATATCATTAACTATATTAAATTTTAATTTAACTAAACATTTATTAAATTAAGTTAGACATGTCGTTCATGTGGTGAAGAAGATGCCCAAAATGAGACTTGTAACTTATTTATGTGTGAATAATAAAGCTTCGGAGTTAGACATACATCCCACCTAGGCAAGGAATATTGGGGGGTGGGTAGTCAATAAATAACTCGAGCTGCCAACCCGGCCCGAGCCCAACTCAAAAAATTAAGGTTATGGTTGACTTGTTTAATAAACGAGTTGGGGTCAAGTTAGTTTTTTTACTTGTATATTAAATTGGTCAGATTTGGATTATCTCGTGAGCCCATTTTTTAATCTAAAAATGACTAATTTGATATATTTTTTCTTTAATTTGTTTAGTTGTTTGTTTAATCTTCTTATTTTTCATCAAATCTCCAAACTTTTATGTTTAATATGTTTTTTTTTTAACAAAAACAGGTTAATTAGTTAGGTTCGGCCATTTGAGTTGCTAGTGGGTAGGGTTGAAGTTGGTGTTTTTGACCCGTTTATTAAATGGGTCGCGTTCGAGTTGACAGGATTCGGGTTAGACCCAAACCCAACCCGTCAACATGTTTTGACACTGATAAAAAATATTATCGAACCACTTACACATCTACAAAAGTGAGTCCACAAGGCTGGATGGCATGAAGGAAAAAGATACATCCTACTAATTAATGAGCATATGAGGGACATGCGTGCAAACAAAACTTTTTTGTTTGTTTGTTATATGCATTCTTTTGATGTTTGATTTCAGTTTTTGATGACTTCAAATGATTATATGACATAGAAACCTTTCATCTTTTTATACTAAGCTTCTTGTTTATCCAAAATATTCTCAACTATTTAAATGTGACTTTCTCTTCTTGACAAAATCAAATCTTCCCTTAGATATCTTCCTTTAATTATTATAATCAATAGCATATATGTTTGGTATATAATTGTGCAGATGAGGATGAGAGCTTGATTTGATGTGTTTTACTTGCTACTTGATAAAAGTTTGGTATAATTGTTTTTTTCTACCAAATAAAGATTATTAATTGAGAGAGAAGTATATCTATATATAATATAATATATATAATAATTCATAATATATTATTAGGGGGTGTCATTTCGGTCACGGTGGGTTTGGGTGATCCTGAATACGGTTCAAAGGGTTGATCTAGTGGGGTAGACACGGATATGAAATCAACGGACGTTTGGCGGTTGGGGTTGACGAGACACGTAGTCGAAACGCATGGACGATGTTGGGCTAGAGGGAGCGCATGGGGGAGCGAGAAGGCGATGGTGGGTGAGGGGTGGTTGCGGGGGGTGGCGAGGGGGCGTGCTCGGCGTTGGTGCGGGCGTGGTGGAGGTGGGGGCGAGCCGGGTGGCGGCCGCGGCGTAGTAGTGGGGGGGGCGCGTTGGCAGGGAGGAGCGTGTGCGGGGGTGTGCTTAAGGGAGCGGGAGTTATTAAGACGGTTCAAGGGTGATGGACAACCTGCGGTCAGAACCGCGTTTTTTAAGCGGGTGATCGGGATCGAACCCGAATCGTTATCGTTTTGCCATGGGTAGGGTCCTACCTAGATTTTTT